CATTCCTGGCCTGCCCTGCGCCCTCCTGCCTACACCCCGTGGGGTGCAACCAGGCATGGGGACAGGGGGCATCAGTGGGGCCATGCTGTCCCCCCCCATACCCCCCAGGGCAAGGGGATACCCACACAGACTTGTCCACCTCCTGCCGGATCTTCTTCACCGAGAGCCTGATGCCGAAGGCGATGCTGTTGAGGATGTTCTTGAAGTAGGTCTTCTCATCCACCTCGAACTGGGGGGCACGGCCACGTCAGGGGGATGCCAGTCCCAAGAGTGTGGAGAGCAGGGCTGGGGTGTCCTCCCACCCCTGTGAGCCTTGGGGACTGAGGGTTGTGGCCGTGGGCTAGATGTGGCACAAGTGTGACCTCATGTCCTGTTCTGTGTTCCCATGTGGGTGGCTGCATATCCATCACCTCTGTGGGGTCCCTGGGCTACACAGGGTTAGGGGCGCCCGCCACCCTTGCTGAGATGGGTTTGAGCTCTGGGGGATTTGATGTGGGGAAGGGGACATCATCCGAGACCCCAGGGACAGCATGGCACTGCCTGTGTCGCTGTGGCCGTGCGAGTGGTGGGCACAATGAGCTACCAGGAGGTGGCTTGTTTTGGGGTGGTATCTCCCCATCTGGTCTCTGCAGACCCTGGGACAGATGTGGAGACCATCTCCCCCCTCCACATGCCCATGGCCCTGTGTGGCCCTGGGCCACCCCTTGCCTCATACTCCTTGTCGATGGCCTCCGGCTTCATCAGGAAATCGGGGTACCCAATCATCACCATCAGGTACCGGAGCTGCGGGCAAAGCGAGCAGCAGGGTCAGGCACCATCCCCCGTGCCCCCAGGCCGTGGTGGAGGCAAGGGCAGGGGTCCATGCTGGGGGCTGCTACCTTGGCCCTGGCCGCTCTCCGCGTCTCCTCGTCCATCCAGTCCAGCTCATCCAGGCGCTGGTCCAGGATGTATTTGATGTCCTCCACCAGCTGCTGCACCTATGGCAGGCCACCGCAGGCGCTGGCACGGCATCCTCACCACCCCTCAGGGGGGCACAGGTCCTCACCAGTCCTCACCACCCCCAGCCAGTCTTCGGGGGGGTTCCGGGTGGTGGCAGGCACCTCAGCAAGGGGACAGGAGGGACACAGTGGCTTCATGCCCACAGGCAGCATCACCTACCTTGGCTTTGCTGGCAGAGGAGAAGTGCTCCTCAACGAAGAGGGCGCCCAGGGCCATGCCAAAGTGCTTGTTGGCCTGGCTCAGGCAGATCTTGCCCGGCTCGAGCTGCTTTTCGTTGCCCTCCATCTCCTTGGAGAGCTCATGGATGGCGTCGCGGAAGGGAGTGGAGAGGTGCTCGCTCAGCACCACCACGATGCGCCACAGCATGTAGTTGTGAAGGATCCTGGTGATGGGGGGCAGGATCAGCCCCCCCACCCCTGGCATGTCGCCCCCCCGTGGGGGCCCAGGGAAGGGCTGGTACTGTGTCCCTGCCTGCTGTGTGATGAGTCTGGTGACCTCTAGCATGGGAGGGTCTCAGCAGGTGGCCAGGCACAACCAGGGTGCTGTGGGACCCCTGATAGTGCCCTCTCCCAGGGGCTTTCCCAAGAGTCCCCCTGGCCTCCCCAGGATAGGGGTGATGGGGGGGGACCAGCCACAGCCACCCTGTGCCCACCCCATTGCCAACCCCTTGCCAGACTGGGGAAGGTGCCGGGGCACAGGGGGTGCCAGCCCCCCTCACCTGCTGGGTGTCACGCGGATGAGGTCGGACACCTTGTGCATGTAGTCGGTGGCCAGCAGCACCACCTCCTCCTCCTCCGAGAAGTTGTCGTGGAAGATGCGGTCCAGCAAGCGCTTCCACTTGAGCTGCCAGGGCGGGCACCGTCGGAAAGGTGAGGAACCCCCCCCTCCATGCCACCATGCAGGAAACTCCCTCCAGGCTTTCCAGCCTCCCGCCACCCCTTCCCACCCAGGAATGTGCAGGATGGATTCATCACCCTCAAGTGGACTTATATGGGGGGGCAGTGAGGGCTTTTCTGGGGACACCGGGGTATTGTGCTGGGGCTTGTGCTGTCTTACCCAGGGTGCAGGCTGGCCCTGGGGACATGGGATTGGCAGCAAGAGGGGACATGGAGCAGGGGGACAGGGACAAGTGTGGGGCACAGGGCAGATGGAGGATATGGAGTGGCAGGCTGGGCACCGGGGGGGCTCACCGTGGGAGTGATGCGCTGCAGTTCGCCCAGGGTCACTTTGTGGTACATGCTGCTGACGTCCCTCCGCACGTCATCATACTCGGACACCGTGATCTGCACAGGGTGGGCATGGCTGCCACCACACCGCTGCCCACCTTGGGGGTGGCACAGGGACGGGACACAGGTCTGGGGCAAGAGGGGCTGCTGACCCACAACCCTCCTGGCTTGCTGCCCCGGGAACCCTCTGCTGCCAGTGAGGCCCTCAGGGCTGGGCTTGGGGTCCTCAAGGAATTGGGGTACCCAAGGACTGGGCATAGGGGACCCTCAGGGCTGGGCATGAGGTCCTCAAGGGTCTGGAGTGGTTTCCCAAGGACCAGACACAGGGCTTGCAAAGGCTGGAGTGGTTGTCATGAGGGCTGGGACTGGGGGTTTCCAAGATGTTGGGGCTGGGGTCCCTGAGGATCTGCCACAGGGTCTTCAAGGGGCTGGGATCCTGGAGGGCCAGGCATAAAAGTCCCCAAGGGCTGGGAGCAGAGGTTCCTAAGAGGGTGGTGATGGGGTCCCTGAGGACCAGGCATGGAGGTCCCAAAAGATCTGGGACTGAGGTACACAAGGTCTGGGCAGGGGCACCCCAAAGCCCAGGGCGGGCATCCCCCTCACGTTGGCGAGGTGCTGCTCCAGCTGCAGGATCTCCTGGGCCTTCTGCTCCACATGCTCGGCCCCCAGGAGGGTGAGCAGCCGCTCCATGAACACCCGGTACGCGGCCAGGATCTATGCCAAGGGAAGGGACTCTGAGTGCCACCCCACAGGCACCCCGGCCCCAGAACTGCTGATGATGGGGTGCCCTCCATCTGCCACCCATGCTGGGTGCTGGTCCCTCTCCTGGTGTCCCCATGCCTGCAACATCCTTTCACCTTCTCGCTCTCCTCGTCCTGCCCCAGGTAGAGGGTCCGTTCGGGCAGCGTCAGCCCATCCTGGTCGATCTGGGGGGATATGGGGGCAGTTGGTGAGCAGAAAGAGGGGGGGCCATGCTGGGCAAGGAGCACCCCCAGCCTGCCCTGGCAAAGCACGCCCTGCCTCCCCTGTATTGCAGGGTGCCCCAACACCCCAGGAGCTGTGGGGTGGCACCGTGGTGGGTCAGCCCTGGGCACGGGCAGGTCCCATGCCTCAGTTTCCCCCCTGCTAGAAGGTGCCAGAGCTGCAGTGGGCAGTGTGCAATGGGCTGGGAATGCTGGGCATGGGGCAGGCCCTTGCTCTGTGGTGGCCCCACACCTGCCCCATGGCTGGCCCCGCTCCTGTGTTGCAGCCTGCCCCACGGGGAGCTGCAGGGATGGGCCACGCTGCATGGACACCCCCACCTTTCACCCCCCACATACACACCCCACCTGCTACCCTGTAACCACAGGCACAGCCTTTAACACTTACACACACCTGGACATGCTTGCACATATGTGTATATACACACACATATATGTGTATATACACACACATACGTATATATACACGCACATATGTGTATATACACACATCTGTAACTCACCCCTCATGACACACCCCTACACATGCACCATCTAGTTCACCCCCTCTCCATGCACACACGCACACACGCACCCCCCTGTCTCTCTGGCTCACCCCCCGTGTCCCACCCCCCTCCATGTGCACACCAACAGGCACCCTCAGCCTTTCTCCATCACCCCCCCTCTTTAGTTTCCCACAAAGGCACTGCCACACGTACAGCCCTCACACACACACACACACAGAGCCTCCTCACACCACCCCCTCCCCCGTCACACTCACACCCATCGCACACCCGCTCCCCCCATCACACCCTGACACACACACACCCCCCAAGCCCTGACACCCGACGCTGGCTGTCGCACCCGTCCCCCCAGGCCCGGCCTGTCACACCCCGCGCACACCTGCACCCTCCCGCCCCTTTCCCTGTGACACACGCTCCCTCTAGTGTGCACAGGCGCGGCCCGCACGGCCCTGCTCCTCCCCGGCCCCTCACACGCACTCACTCACACTCACACTCACGCTCACACTCACACTCCCCCCACACCCAGCCCCACCATCTCGCAGGGAACGGGAAGGCTGCATCCCCCCCACTGTGTCCCCCCGCCATCCCCAACACCTCGTCCCCACCATGCCATTGCAATGGCCCCCCCATGTCCATCACCGTGCCCTCCATGGTGTCCCCACCACGCCAGTGTCGTGACCACCACCACGCACCCACACCCACCAAGGGTGCTTGAGGCTTGGCCACCCAGACAAAGCCCACCCATGCCCCACTGGCATCACAGGGTGAGGGACACAGGCTGGCAGGGGTGGGGAAGGCTGAGAAAGCCATGGGCAACTGCCCTGGCACCCTGGCCCGGTGCCGTGGGGCCAGCAGGCATCCCCCTGTCACCTCCAAGGGTCTGGCCCCTGTGTGCGGATGGCAGCCAGGACGCCAAGGTGAGGGGCTTGGCCACTGGCACTCTGGAGACCCTGGTGCCCCGCTGGGCTCTCCCCAGCACCCAGGTGGGCCGCACCGCCTCACTCTGTACGTCCCCCTGCCCATGTTCCCCCGCCCGCGTCCTCCCCCATCCTGGAGGTGGCACCCTCACCCCCAGGCAGCCTGACACCGGGGTCCCATGATGGGGAGATGGGGGGGTCCCCCAGGGACAGGGGCTGTCCCCAGCCCGGCCACCCAGTGCTGCCAAACACACACACAGGGCAGGCACCCAGTGCCACCGCGACAAGGACGGTGTCACCAGAGGGGTGTCACCGGCACAGGTGGGTGGCGGGGGGGACGGCCCCAGGGGCAGGGTGCCCTCACCCGGATGACGTAGCGGGAGGTGTTCCTCTCGTCCAGGCTGACGGTGAGGGAGAAGAGCACAGCGGCGCTGTAGACCCCCTGCGTCTTGTAGAGCAGCTCGTTGAGGTCCCCGCGGCCTGGGGGGGCGTCCCAGCCGCCGCACTCCCCGATGACCTCCAGCATGGGCCGCGGGCCCAGCCGGTCAATCTCAGCCCGGTCCAGGCACGAGCGGAAAAACTCCTTGACCTTCCTCTCGGCCGAGGCGGGGGCTCGGCGCCGCACGGGGCGGCTCAGCAGCGCCCGCAGCTTGGCCTCATTCTGCTCGGCGATAGCCCCGATGGTGCCGTACACCAGCTTGTCCTCGGGAATGCCGTGTCGCCGGAGCCAGCCACCACAGGCGAAGGAGTAGAAGTCCTGGCAGGGGTCGATGGTGGCATCCATGTTGGCGCTGAGGAAGCGGGATGCCCGCAGGAAGGCCTTCTTCTCCTGGCACCCCTCCAGGCAGTAGCTGTCCCCTTCGGCTGCCAGGTATTTGAGGACCAACATGCACGTCAAGATGACGCAGAGCCCCGCGGCGAACACCAGCCCCGAGAGCAGGCAGACCTCCCTGCGGCTCCAGCGCGGCAGCCCCCCGCGGCGTTTCTTGGCCCCGGTGCCCAGCTGGAGGGCAAAGCCATTGGGCAGGGTGCCGCTCTGGTACTTGCTCACATACTTCACCTCCTGAAACTCGTCGTAGTGGGCCGTCAATGAGTAGGTCTTCTCCATGGCCAGGGATGGGGCTCCCCACAGGCAGCGTGAGTGCAGGGGGCTCAGGGCAGGCAGGGGACAGGCTTGGACACCCCACGGTTCATGCTGGAGCCATGCCCGCCGCAGGGAGGTGGTGGAGGGTGCCCGGGTGAGTCAGGAAGCTCCTGGAAAAGGCAGAGGAGGTGGTTGGGGGGGGGGGTTGGGAGGAGCCAAGGGGGGGGTTGCTTCTTGCCGTCATCACCGCCTGCGTCGCAGTCCCTGCCTGTGTGCCCCGCTGGTGGCACTGGGACTGGCCCTGGTGCCAGGAGCTCAGTGGCAGCTCTACCCCATGGCTGTCCCCTCTGCCAGCCCTTCTGGTGACAGGGCAGGGTCCTGCCTGCACGATCCCAGGCGGGTTTCAGCCCTGGCACAGCCCCATCCTACACCACCCCCCCCCACACGCCCACCCGGCGCACCAGCGAGAGCACCCATGCCGGGTGGACGTCCAGGGTGATCCAGCAAGCCCATCCATCCTGACGCTGCACCGTGAGAGCCTTTCCTGGTCTGTGGGGGCACAGGGCTGCCAGTCCCTCTGGGTGGGGTACAGAGGGGGGTGAGCGACTTGGGGAAGAGGGGCTTTGGGAAGATTTGTGGGGCTTTGGGGGAGATTTGCAGGGGAAGGTGTTGGGTTGGGGTGTTGCGGGCTGGGTCAGCTTGTGTGGCCCACGTCGGGTTGCATCGCATTGCACCGTGGCGCGTGGCGTGGCATTGCATTGTGTTGGGTTGGGTCGGGTCGTGTTGCATTGCATTGTGTCAAATTGTGGTGCGGTGCGCAATGTGTGCATAAAGTTAAGCCCAGTCTGGGGGGGGAGCCCTGGACCCTATGGACATCTCACAGCGACCCCACCCTGTCACTATCCACCCAACCCCTCTCTGCTGGCTGGTGCCCGACGGGCAGGGGTGTCTGGCAGGGGTGCCCTGCCGTGGAGGAGGGGGTCTGCCCACGGGGAAAGGAGGGTGGGGG